TCACTGTGTTCCATCGTGTGTCTGATGGCATTACTAGCATTGTTCCTCCTGCTCTTCAAACCAAAGATCCTGGGATGTGATGATTTCTGAATTTCAATAGTATTTATTATCTTAGGTAACAATATATTTCATGTAAATATATACATTAATAATGAGACCTTATGATATGATCAAAGTTTCACAAAACTGGAGAGAACAGACTATAGTACAGTACATAATTATGTAAATCCAAATAATGTTATTAACCTGCTGCATTGCATATACTTCTCAATCATGTAGAATAAAAAGAGAAAAAAGTTATTAGTAAAAAAATCATTTTGATTTAAATCATGATTTTTTTACTCAGATTTAAATCGATTTAAATCATGTGATTTAAATCATTTGATTTAAATCATAACAACCCTGAGTCTAGATGAGAATGCCTCTTGTAGTGTAACCTTAGCTCCGATGCCTCTACTGTTTGTCCCTCTAAATCAAAATGCCTCTCCAACTTTTTTTAAGTAAAAACGATAACAAGACGAACCACCTGAAGATTAGACACCCAAACTTATTTCACTTGAAGATCAACCTAACCTAACCTAACCTCCCTCCCAATATAACGATAGAATAGTTAATCTTCAGATGAAATATACTGAGGTGTCTAATCCCCACATGATAACAACCGCTATACAGTAAAACCTTCCCTCTTATCAAAGCATTGCGATGGATAAATAAAAACACCAAGAGAGAGATGCCGTCATTGAGCTGCACAAGATAAAGACGTTGTAAATCTATACTGGACAGCATACACCACATCGTCTTAGCTCTTGAGAATCTGGAACAGCGCCAAACTCTGGTATTTTTCTTGAAGCTCGCTCTATCTACTGCCTGGGGGCCCACTGTCTCTTCTGCCAAATTGCTCACCAGGTTTGTACCGAGTCGAGGTAAATTGTGGCGGCCGGATGCGGTAGTTTCTTCACTGTCGTCTCCGCTCCCCTACCCTACAAGGATGCTTTTTCTTGTATACACACTACTTGTCTCCTCACTCACTCATGTGTCTACAGTAACAGTTTGATTTGGATTTTTTGTTCTGTTTTGTCTCTGTCTTTTGTTCAGTTTTATTTGTCTGTATTTTGTATATTTACTTGATTTGGGTTTTGTTCCTGACAGATATTTTCTTGTGAGTCTTCCTGTCTGTCTGTTTCTCTTTCTCTACCTGTCTGATAATCTCTCTCTCTCTCTCTCTCTCTCTCTCTCTCTCTCTCTCTCTCTCTCTCTCTCTCTCTCTCTCTCACTATTGGCAGACTCATACACCCTCATACAATATAACTTCTTATCTATAAGTGAAAATCTGTGAGCGTTCCTTCCTCCCGGTGGGTGCCGTAGGATCTGTTGTTGTTGCTCTTGTTAATGTTGTTGTTTATGTTGTTGTTAATGTTGTCACTGTTTCTTGTTGTTGTTGTTGATGTCACTGTTTGTTGTTGTTGTTGTTGTTGATGTCACTGTTTATTGTTGTTGTTGTTGATGTAACTGTTTGTTGTTGTTGTTGTTGTTGTTGATGTCATTGTTGTTGTTGTTGTTGTTGTTGTTGATGTCACTGTTTCTTGTTGTTGTTGTTGATGTCACTGTTTGTTGTTGTTGTTGTTGTTGATGTCACTGTTTGTTGTTGTTGTTGTGGATGTCACTGTTTGTTGTTGTTGTTGTTGTTGATGTCACTGTTTGTTGTTGTTGTTGTTGTTGATGTCACTGTTTGTTGTTGTTGTTGTTGATGTCACCGTTTGTTGTTGTTAATGTCACTGTTTGTTGTTGTTGTTGTTGTTGATGTCACTGTTTGGTTGTTGTTGTTGTTGATGTCACTGTTTGTTGTTGTTAATGTCACTGTTTGTTGTTGTTGTTGTTGATGTCACTGTTTGTTGTTGTTATGTCACTGTTGTTGATGTCACTGTTTGTTGTTGTTGTTGTTGTTGATGTCACTGTTTGTTGTTGTTGATGTCACTGTTTGTTGTTGTTGTTGTTGATGTCACTGTTTGTTGTTGTTGTTGTTATGTCACTGTTTGTTGTTGTTAATGTCACTGTTTGTTGTTGTTGTTGTTGTTGATGTCACTGTTTGTTGTTGTTGTTGTTAATGTCACTGTTTGTTGTTGTTGTTGTTGTTGTTGATGTCACTGTTTGTTGTTGTTGTTGTTGATGTCACCGTTTGTTGTTGTTGTCACTGTTATGTGTTTTGTTAATGTCACTGTTTGTTGTTGTTGTTGTTGTTGATGTCACTGTTTGTTGTTGTTGTTGTTGATGTCACTGTTTGTTGTTGTTGTTGTTGATGTCACTGTTGTTGTTGTTAATGTCACTGTTTGTTGTTGTTGTTGTTGATGTCACTGTTTGTTGTTGTTAATGTCACTGTTTGTTGTTGTTGTTGTTGATGTCACTGTGTGGTCATTGTTTGTTGTTCTTGTTGTCATTGTTGTTGTCGTTCTCACTTTTCTTGTTGTTGATAATGTCACTGTTTGTTGTTGTTGTTGTTGATGTCACTGTTTGTTGTTGTTAATGTCACTGTTTGTTGTTGTTGTTGTTGATGTCACTGTTTGTTGTTGTTAATGTCACTGTTTGTTGTTGTTGTTGTTGATGTCACTGTGTGGTCACTGTTTGTTGTTGTTGTTGTCGTTCTCACTTTTCTTGTTGTTGATAATGTCACTGTTTGTTGATTTTGTTGTTGTTGATGTTATTGTTTGTTGTTGTTGTTGATGATGATGTCACTGTTTGTTGTTGTTGTTGTTAATGTTATTGTTCTTGATGCTACTGTTGTTATTGTTGATGTCACTTATTGTTGTTGATGTCACTGCCTGTTTCTGTTGTAGGTAATGGTGTATCCGTTTGTTGTTATTCGTGTTGAGTTTGCTAGTGGTGATGTCACTATCATTTAATGCTCTGTTATTGGTTACGTCACTATGATGATCTATTAATGGTGACGTCACTATCCTGGTATATTATTGGTAACGTCACCATCATAATTTTTTATTGGTGACGTCACTATCATTCTCTATTGTTGGTGATGTCACTACCCATCTTAGTTCTTCTCCATTCCCTTATGTTCTTATGTTCTATCCTAACCTAACCGACCCTAACCTAACCTAACCTAACCTAACCTAGCCTAACCTAACCTAACCTAACCTACCCTAACCCACCCTCCTAACCCTAACCTAACCTAACCTACCCTAGCCTAACCTAACCTAACTTACCTAACCCTACCCTAACCTAACCTAACCTAACCTAACCTAACCTAACCCTAACCTAACCCTAACCTAACCTACCCTAACCCACCCTAACCTAACCTAACCTAACCCACCCTAACCTAACCTACCCTAACCTACCCTAACCTAACTAAATCTTGTATTCAGAGTGGTATTATCAAGCTCATAATGACTCTTACTGTTTTTATCGGACTGTATATATCCAGAACACACTGAGTCAGTTACAGCCTCAACACGTCACACCCTGATAAGCTTACATTAAAACTGGATATAAATTATCACTTGAAAACCCCAGGACAAAAATCACCCCTAAGTGTGTGTGTGTGTGTTGGTCAGAGAGGCAGCCGGTTGGTCTGTGTATAGTAGCACTGCCACGCCTATATGTGCGACGTAAAAAGCTAAAGCTATCCTGGTGTATTATATAATGACGTCACTGGCACGGTTAATGGTGACGTCATTATTATGGTAAGTGTAATATACCCTGCATTATTTTCTCTTCCTTTAATTAATACTCTGATTCACTCACTCACTCACTGGACTGTTATACGAGGTCATCTGAACAAGGACACAAACACCCTAAAGTTTCAAGATAATGATATAATGACCTTAAACGCATTTAAAGTTTATCCATTTCACAATTAAGTATAATGACATAACAAACACATCCAAATTGTCTTCGTCACTTGTCCTGTTCTGCCATGGAGCATCACAATGTCCCAACACAACACGTTACTATGTTCATTAACTCCCAAAATCCGTATAAATGAGAGATTTATCCTAATTATTCTGTTAATGATCCCCAGGTAATGTCACTTAACACACTTGAGTTAAACAAATCGTCCATCTATGTTCTTTAAATACCCTGACTAGTGCCTGATTTTCTAGTAAAAGTCCCTAGCGTATTTTAAATGTATTCTTTGTTGTCCGTGGTGGAGCGGGTATTTAACAACCGAACCAGGTCATTTGAGTCATCCGCTTTTGTTCATGGTAGCGTGGGGGGCTGGTGGGGGCGGGGGTTGGGAAAGAGAGGGGGGTGGGGGGGGGGGGCTAACCATCCACACTATGTTGAGACTCTCACTTGTCCGTTCCTAGATGGCGTGACGGATAGTGATCATCCATATTATATCAGTTTTCACCTTCCTATCCACAGAAGGTGACTTAGTTGTAAGTGAGTCATCCAGGTGGTCTTAACTTCCAAAATATCCCATCCATAGGTGTTGTTATTTACACTGTCAACAAAAACTACTCGAGCACCTGGGCACGGTGGATGTGAGAGTGTGGCTTGTCATCTCGGAATGGTTTCAGATTCTTCGTTCATTTTTCAGATTGCATCATGCTTATAGCGTTCAAGATGTTTTTGGTGAGTGTACGTGAACCATTCAATCAATCCTTACCCTACAAATATCGCCTAACACAGAGACGGACCAACTAACCATTCAAGCTATGGTCTAATTTATCCATCCAGACTCAATCTATAAACTGTCCAAAACTTATTTATGTAGAGAAACAATCTAAGCCTGCCTCCTAACCACCCATCCTTCTATGTAGACTCGGAACCACAGGCCGACCACCCCACCCCTCCTCTTAACCACCAATTCTTCCCGGTCCACAGGTGGCGTGGGTGCGGGTGAACTATGCAGGTAATAATGTGTTCCCACCTTTCCATCACAGGTGGCGTGGGTGCAGGTAATAATGTGTTCCCACCTTTCCATCACAGGTGGCGTGGGTGCGGGTGAACTATGCAGGTAATAATGTGTTCCCACCTTTCCATCACAGGTGGCGTGGGTGCAGGTAGACACACAAACTATCCTTACCATCCACAAGCAAGTCATCACCAGGAATTCAAGGATCGCGCTGCTACACAACGACCACCGCACTTGGCATCTCCAAATCAAGAACGTGAGGGAGATCGACCGTGGGTGGTACATGTGTCAGGTGAACACTGATCCTATGAGGTACCGCCAAGGATACGTTGATGTTGTAGGTGAGTGACTTGGGGTTGTGAGTAGTGTGTATGTGTGAGGTGTGCAAACAGGGTGGTGTAATGCGTCTAGTGTGGGAGCATTATGTTAGTGTTAAGGTGCAGGCACTGCTTGCTTCCTCTTGCTTTCAGTTACTGCCGCTGGCTAGCCCTCGTGGTGAACAGGGAAGCAACCTTAAATAAAACTTCCCCTACCAGAACACAGCCTCTTCACCATCCAGACTCCTGCTGTGCCTCCTCGTGGCAACACACGGTAACTGGGTGCCTCGCGGCCCAAGGCTAGACTACACTGGGATCTCGGAGCAGCAGTGGGCGCCAGAGGGACGGCGCATTGGCCCGCCGACATGTGGACAAGTGCTGGCGCCTACCAACCACTGCCCTGCTGCCTTGCTGATTAACCTTGGTAGGTATAAGGCTACGGGGGTAAACTCCGAAGGAAAATCTGCGGTGGAGCCCCACATCAGGCAGACATGCTTACAGAGATCCAGTAAGACCCCAACGGCAGAATAGGCAATGCAAGATGGACCGGCTACTAAGGCGAAACCCAACAAACTAGGCCATCGGCAGTCCGCTGCGACTCTCCCTCTCTCCAGTCGTTGCAGCTGCTTACACAACTGGATCAGGTAAAGGGAGAGCCAAGATATGTGGCTGCAGTCTGAGCTCCTGCCTCACCTCAATATTTACCAGTTACACTTTCCAAGATACAAGATCTCCCACCAATCACATTTCAGGATGCAATCATTCTGCCAAATATGCTAAGCCTCACCAATTCGTCTAAAATGTCATGGAAGCCACACATCCACAACATTGCTAAAGCTGCCTCCAAAAAGCTGGGAATGCTGTACAGTAGGGAGTGACAGTTTGGCAAAAGTTTTCAAAATCTAATTGCATGGGTTGGATTATTTGTCTATCGGCCACGCTAATTCCGAATATGTTTGAGTTTTTTACATCATTGCATTAGAAGGTTTGTGGATACTTTTGGGTTTGGCATGAAAAACGCGAAAAAACTGTAAATAATAAAGGGACTGGCAATGTGGCACAACCTGTTAAAATCAAGTTATTGAATTGGATTATTCGACGACTGTGTACACTGGTTCATAATATGCTATTGTTTTACAACTCAATGCGCTACAAATTATGCCGATATTTTTGCTGCAAGTCACCACATACATATATTTCGAAAACCAGGGCCCAATATTACCAACGGCGTGGATAGATTCCGTGGAATGAATTCAGGACATTCCCGCTCATGGAACATTACCAAACTCCGTATATGTGCCAATGGCAGGCCAATGGCAATATTTACAGAGTTTGTTGAGGCTCCCTGGACGGGAATGCCCTGAATTTATTCCACGGAATCTATTCACGCCGTTGGTAATATTCGTCCCAGGACTGATCAACGAATTCAGCCCAAGTAGCTTGACTTGGACAGTTAAGGACAAAATCTCAGTCCGTACTTTTGAATAAAATATTGTTCCATAGGTGGTGATATTGAAGTGCTGAAAGTTGTTTTTTCTGTGTTGTTTTGCAGTTAGTTCAAAGGGCCGTCACCAAGATGGGTCGTCCTAAGATTAGCAACACTCAGCTGCGCCAGGGTAACGATAAGGTGTTCGGGGTTCGGATGCCTCTGCCATCTAACAAGTTGCCTCTGAACAAGGAAGTTGGAAGTGCCCTGGCTTATGAAGCAGAAAACGAGAGGTTAAGGAGAAGAACAAATACTTTTGATTATATGGATGCCACCAACAAGGTGACTGAGAAGGTACTGGATGTGTATAGGAAGGCCACTGTCCCCACTATCTCTGAAATCAGGGTGAAAATGAGAGTCCACGACCTGTGGAGGATGCGGAGGGAGACGATGATGATGAAGGGAAATGGACAGAAACAGAAAACGAAGAAAACGAAGAACGGGAAGCTGAAGATGAGGTTCGAGGATATAGCTGAGAAGTTGTTTGATGTGGCAGACGACAGCAAAGTGCACGAACGAGAGAAAAGCTTCCTGGCAGCCCAGAGGAAACCGGGAAGGGAGGGCTGCATTGATGGCGTTGACAAAATTGTGACTGCCAAGCTGAAAGAAGAGAGGGAGAAGGAAGCGAAGAGGGCAAAGAAAAGGGCTGAGGAAGAGAGGAAAACTGAGAAGATGAGGTCAAAGAGTAAGGAGGAGATGGAGAGGATGTCGTGTAAAGTATCGGCAGTGGATGACAGTGCTCAGGAAGAAGATAGTGATTATAAGGATGTCAATGACAATGAGTTCAAGGCTATGGTCGACAGGAGAGCAAGATCAGAGAAAAGGAAAAGGGAGAAAGAAGCCGAGGACAGGATCGGAGAAACTGCTGACAGGTTCAAGGTATCCAATGATGCAGTGGCTCACATCGCAAACACCATCAGAGCTGCAGACAACATCATAACTGAAGGGGACAAGTCTGAAGTGACTAACTGGAAGAAAGTGGAGAGAGTCAGGAAGAGGTCACGAGAACAGAAAAAAGAAAAGTTCAGGGGATTCAAGGTCAGAGGTCTCATGGTAGATGAGAGGATCAATGAGAACAAGATAGTGACTGGTGTAGGTGAGAAGAACCACAAGAGATTCGCCATGGAAAAGAGGGAAGACTGTGCAGTGATCGGCTTCCCTGGTGAGGAGTTCCTTGGTCACCTGGTCCCGGTGGGGGGAAAGGGGGTAGACCTGGCCACCAGCCTGCTGGCCTTCCTGGAGGAGCGCGGTATTGACACCACCGACCTCCTGGTTGTCCTTAGCGACGGTTGCAACAAACTGAGTGGCTATAATCACGGTTTCATCGCCGAGTTTGAAAGGCTGTTGGGACGGCCTCTCCTCCACATCCACTGCCTGATCCACAGTCTGGAGAAGCTCTTCGGCCATCTATTCAACCATTACGCTGGCCCAACCACTGGTCCCGCCTCCTGGAGTGGTGAGGAGGCTCGGAAGCTGACCGGCAACGTGTGGGACCTTCCGGTGGTTGAATTCGAGGCCGTCACCAACACCTACCTCAGGTCTCTCCTGGATGCCATCCCCTCCGTCGTCTGGGAGGAGTTCAGCTGGGACACCCGGTATCTGTTGGAGATGGCCAAGACGGTGGAGTCCGGCCACATTGAGGAGAGATGGGCCAGGGCACGGGCCGGAGCCATGACCAACGCCAGATGGCAAAACACGGAGAGCAGGGAGCTGAGGGCCTACATGAGCACCACCTCCCCCAGCGAGTCACAGAGACGGATGACCTCCTTCATCATCCTTATCTACGTGCCCTCCTTCCTGGAGATCAGGCAGAGGAATCTGCTACTGGAGGGCCCACGCCACCTCCTCGCCATCATCAACCGGGTGAGGACGTACTGCACCCTGGAGGAAGTGGAGCTGCTTACTCCATACCTCCAGTTCAACGGCTACTTCGGCCAGCACGAGGTGGTGCTGGTCTCACTGCTGGCCTCCATGGACAAGAGTGAGAGGGAGTTGGCCCTAAACATCATCAAGCAGCTGAGGAAGAAGGAAAAAAGGCACAAGAGAAAGACAGTGAGGAAAGTGAGGAACCCTCAACTGAATCTGGCAGCCACCAAGCTGTCAGAGTTGGTTGATCTGCAGAAGGCCAGCTCCTCCCCTCCCATCCTGTTCCAGCACAGTGACCAGGAACTGGAGCAATTTCTGGAGGAACCGTACAGTGAGCCAGGTCTGCCCTGCACCACCACCGCAGTGGAAAGAGGAGTGAAGCTCACCACGGAGGCGGCAGACGTGGCCAGCTCTGCCTGGCAGCAGGACCAGGTCACCTGGAACAAGCTGGAGGCCAGGAAGAGAAACAAGCGGAGGGCTAAGAAAGAGGACTACCAGTGCTAGACTGTGGGGACACTGGGACTGAGGGGACACTGTGGGGACAGCCAATGTTAGTGTGCCAACTGTGCTAGTGTGCTGCTGATAAATTGAAGCATACATGCCAATAATAAAGAATGTCTACCATTATTCTTGTTTTTTTTTTATGTCGAACCGAAAAGTATCCACAAACCTTCTAATGCACTGATGTTAAAGATTCAAACATATTCGGAACCAGCGTGGCCGATAGACAAATAATCCAACCCAAGCCACTTGATTTTGAAAACTTTTGCCAAACTGTCACTCCCTACTGTACAGATGCCGTAGCTACTTCACCCCTGAGCAGTTGCTTCAAGTTGCTTCGTCCTAACTTGGGGTATTGCTCTCATATCTGGGGTGGCTCTTCTTCTGTCCAACTGTTAGATAGGGTGGAATCAAAGGCATTTCGTCATATTAACTCTCCTCCTTTAGTTGACAATCCCTCTTCCCTTTCTCTTCGCTGCAATGTTGCTTCACTCTCTCTCTTTTACAAGTATTCCAACGGGCAATGTTCGGTGGATTTGGCATCCTGTGTACCGCCGGCAAGGCCGTGGGCTCGTAAGGCTCATCTTGCCTGTGGTGTCGACCGTTTCTTTGTGGATGTCGATCGCACTAGAATAACCCATTATAGTACATCCTTCTTTCCTCACACAGCCAAACTGTGGAATGCTCTGCTTCCTTCTGTGTTTCCATACTCTTACAATCTGCCTCACTTCAAAAAGCTGGTTTTCCGGCATCTTCGTGGTGTAGATTGATATAGTCTTTTTCTCTTCTATTTTATTTTTTTACGTCTTATTCCCCCCGCCCCCCCCTCAAGGCCTCGTTGTGGGTAGATGACCTGTGCCCGGGTGTTCTCTTCCCCGTAAAAAAAAAAAACCTCCAGCTCATCTTACTTTTTATCAATATCAAAACCCCTAAAAGTCCTATGGCGACAGATGCGTGGCGATGGGGACAGGCAGAAATGGCTGCCGGGAGTATCTAGTCACAACTCTGCACCTGGCAGCATAGATACGATGGTCGTCTATGCACTGAGATCTAGGTAGCAGTGCAATCCTGTCCTGTCTGTGCGACTGAGCAGCCCTTACCAGGAGCCACTCTGCTCACCCCACATGGGGGAGGGGGCTAAAAAAGGTGCCCTAAACAAAGCCTGCCTAAAAAAACAACCTGACTGGGCAACCGCACCCAGTAAGGTCATCCTTATGCGGTCAAAAACATAATGATAGATCAAAGCAAAAACACATTATACAACCTCTTATGGTCGCTTCTGGATACTGATACAAATGAGCATCCTGAAAGAAGAACCGCTCTTGTGGCAAAAGATCTGGTTAGGTATAACATCGACATAACAGCCATTAGTGAGTCCCGGACTCCCGGTTCTCAAACGAGGAACGACTCACAGAACAAGGATCCGGCTATACCTTCTTCTGGAAGGGTAAGACTCCTACGGAGAAAACCCCCATTTATTGAGTTGGATTTGCCATCCGCCAATCCATCCTATATAGGCTAGCTGAAATGCCTGCTGAAGTCAACGAGCACCTCATGACACTCCGAGTCCGAATTACTCACTTTATGCCCTCTTCCTCGATGCATACGCCCTAACGCGGGATGTAGAGGATGACATCAAGGAGGCTATTTACGCTGACCTTGACAGAGTGCTAACCTCTATCTCCCGAGAAGATAAGGTTGTGCTCCTTGGTGACTTCAATGCCAGAGTCGGCAAAGATGCTGACATACAGCAGGGAACCACAGGGAGAAAACTAGTGGGCAAGTTTAATTACATTGGCCTACTCCTCAGCAAGTGTGTGCTGAACAAACCACACTATCACCAAGACTTTGTTTAGGCCAGCCGACAAGTTGAATGGGTCTTGGCAATAACCACAATCCAAACATTGGCATCTCATTGCTCATTGACTCTCCCTTCACTCGTCGATGGTAAAGGTACTGCACTCACTGACTGACGGAACAACCCTCAGTCATGAACCAAAGCTGATACCTTCCACTAGAAGAAAGCGAGAGGCCAGATCAAACTTCGCAATCTAATGAACGAATGGTGGAAAAATGAAGCGTATGCAATGCCAAAAACAAATGCCGATCAACAAAAGTTGCATGAACTTTTCAATTCAATAAAACAATGTATGGCCCAACTACTCAAGGAGCGGCCCCCCTCCTCTCATCCGAAGGCAACTCCCTAATTAAAGATGAAGAAGGCATTCGTCAGCTCTGGAAGGACCACTAATACTCGTTGCTCAACCGGAACACCTATGTGGATGTCCTGACTACCCAGTAGGTCCCAGCAACTAGAACTGACCCATCTCAGCTATTCTCCATCCGGGATGAGGTGGCTACTGCCTGATGGAATTTCAGTTGCGGGTATAAAGTAGGAGGACCTCTGCTTACTAGCCGTCTCCTCTCTTTCCTGGAGAATGTATGGGGGAAGGAGGAAATCCCCCAAGCTCTTAAAGACGCCTCCATCGTCAATATTCCTAAGAACAAGGGAGACCGGTCAGACTGTGCCAACTACCGCAGGATCTCGCTGCTGTCCATAGCTGTCAAGATTGTCGCCAGAGTTCTACGGAATAGACTTCTTCCTGAGTCGGAAACTTCCTCCCATAATCTCAATATGGCTTTAGACCAAAACGTGGCACCACTGACATGATCTTCGCTGCCCACTAGGGACAGGAAAAGTCCAAAGAACAGCGTTTTGACCTGTACATGGCCTTCACCGACCTTCCTAAGGCCAACAGGGAAGCCCTCTGGTGGACCCTCAGTGGTTTTGTTTGACCATCATAATTCATCGCCATTGTGAGGTAATTGCACGATAACATGAACGGCAGTGTCCTGCTCAATGGCACTCAGTCTGAGTTTTTCTCCATCCAAACTAGAGTAAAACATGGGTGTGCATTGGAATTAACTCTCTCTTCAATTTTCTTGGCTGCCTTCCTTACTCGTGCCAGTGCCAATTTAGCCGGATGAAGGGACTTTTCAACATAAGACGACCCCAGGCAGGAACAAAGGTGTCGGCCACTTCCATCACTGAACTTAAGTATGCAGATGACTTCACCCTCGTCGCTCACACTGAACGCAACCTACAGGAGATCCGGAACATGTATGCAGTTGTATATGCACACTTCGGTCTTGAAGTGAATACACGTAAGACTCAGATTCTCTTTCAGCCTGCCTCTGATTCTGCCACAGCTCCACCATCCATCCATCCAGCTTAATGGTACCATCCTCTCTAATGTTACCCACTTCCAGTATCTCGTCTCCCACCTGTCCACCACCGCCGACATCCGATTCAACATTAGATCAGATGTGTATTTCATGGCTTTGGCAGACTCTGTACCCGTGTCTTCTGCTGTAGGGAGCTAAAATCATCTACAAAGCTGCACGTATATAGATCAGTGGTCCTCCCCATCCTGCTATACGGTAGCGAGACATGGGTTACATAAAGGAGGCTACTCAAGACAAGAGAATAAATGCCAGTAGTTTTCTTGACACCAACTGTAGGATCATCGAGGATGTCATTATCCATGAACAACTACGTTGGACTGGCCACGTTACCCACATGGACGACAGTAGACTGCCAAAGCAGCCACTTTAAAGTCGCCTAACGAATGGTAAATGTAGCGCTGGTGGGTAGCGGAAAAGGTGTAGAGATAGTTTTAAGACAAACTTGAAAGAGTGCCAAATCAACCTCCTCACCTGGGAGATGATCACTCCACATCGTAACGCTTGGAGGAGCACCACACATGAAGGTATCAATACTTTCGATTTAGTCCGACTGCAAACCAAGGCAGACAAGCGGTAGTGCCGGAAAAACGCTGCCGCCTCCCATCCCGCACTAGATGTAGCCCTCCACATGTGCAGCATCTGTGGAAGGCCCTGCCGTTCCCGTATCGGCCTCTTCAGTCACCTCAGAACTCACCACCCTAAGTGACATCCCTAATAACTCATATCATTGTATCATAACTGGATGATCGTCATACTCGATTCCGAGTGACAACAAAGTAGTAGTAGGAGTAGGGGTTGTGAGTGATGGGTTGTGAGTGATGGGTTGTGAGTGATGGGCTGTGAGTGATGGGCTGTGAGTGATGGGTTGTGAGTGATGGGCTGTGAGTGATGGGCTGTGAGTGATGGGCTGTGAGTGATGGGCTGTGAGTGATGGGCTGTGAGTGATGGGTTGTGAGTGATGGGCTGTGAGTGATGGGTTGTGAGTGATGGCCAGAGGATGGGCTGGGGAGGATGGCCAGAGTGATGGGTTGTGGAGTGATGGGTCAGGAGTGATGGGCCAGAGTGATGGCTGTGAGATGGTTGTGAGAGGATGGCTGTGAGTGATGGGTTGTGGAGATGGGGAGGATGTGGGTTGTGAGTGATGGGGTCGTGGAATTGCAGGAGTTGTGGATGAGAGACTGTCAGGTTGTGGACGAGTGACTGGGAGATTGTGGACGAGGACTGGGAGATTAGGACGAGTGACTGGGAGATTGTGGACGAGTGACTGTAGATTGTGACTTATAAATCAAGATTGTGGACGAGTAACTGGAGATTGTGACGAGTAATCAGATTGCACTTATGACTGGGAGATTGTGGACGAGTAACTGGGAGATTTGTGGACGAGTGACTGGGGAGATTGGTGGACGAGTGACTGGGAGATTGTGGACGGAGTGATCGGGAGATTGTGGACGAGCAGACTGGGAAGATTGTGGACGTGAGCGACTGGGAGATTGTGGACGAGTAACTGGGAGATTGTGGACTAGTGAGACTGGGAGATTGTGGGACGAGTAACTGGGAGACAGGACGAGTGACTGGGAGATTGTGGACGAGTGACTGGGAGATTGTAGATGGGTGACTGGGAGATTGTAGATGGGTGACTGGGAGATTGTGGACGAGTGACTGGGAGATTGTAGATGGGTGACTGGGAGATTGTGGACGAGTGACTGGGAGATTGTGGACGAGTGACTGGAAGATTGTGGACGAGTGACTGGGAGATTGTGGACGAGTAACTGGGAGGTTATGTAGGAGTGACAAAAGGCGTTATGGGTGAGTTACAAGAGCTCCTAGATACTAGGCTGTGGTTGGTGAGTGACATAATATTATGTGATATGATTTAAGAGTAACGCGCTCTGTGGATGAGTAACGCGCTCTGTGGATGAGTAACGCCGAATCTTAACTAAATGGTGAGTGAGTGAGTGATTATAGCATCTGATAATAATGGATGAATTATGAATTACGATAAAAAATGAGACAAAACAAAATATCCAAATCTGAAGATGTAAAACAAAAACACTTACGTCACATGAATCCGGATTAATCCAACCTCATGGTAAAAACGTAAACAATATTGACTAATCTTGAACCCCTCCTCTATTCCACAGTACCTCCGGATATTATTGACCGGGAATCGTCTGGTGACCTGACCGTGCGTGAAGGTCATGATGTGAACCTTACCTGCCGAGCCAAAGGTCACCCTACACCAAGTATCGTCTGGCGTCGAGAGGACAATCAAGATATTATACTTGACCCAGGACACCCAGGTCAGGTCAGGTGTAACTGGTGGATAGGGATATAGTTTAATAGGGAGTAAAGTAATAGAGAAATAGTGTAATAGGAACATAGTTTAATAGGGAGATAGTGTAATAGGGAGATAGTGTAATAGGCAAAAATAGCTTAGTGAGGAACAGCTAAAGGCCAGATTAAAGGAGACACAGCTACTTGTGCTGGAACAGTAACTTGTTGCTGTTGTTGTGGTGGTGGTGGGGGTGGTGGTGGTAGTGGGGTGGTGGGGGTGATTGGGTGGTGGTGGGGGTGGTGGTAGTGGGGTGGTGGTGGTGGGGTGGTTGGGGTGGTGGTAGTGGGGGGTGGTGGGGGTGGTGAGGGTGGTGGTGGGGTGGTGGTGGGGAGTGGTGGTGGTAGTGGAGGGTGGTGGCGGGTGGTGGTGGTGGTGGAGGGTGTGGCGGGGTTGGTGGTGGTGGTGGTGGGTGGTGGTGGTGGTGGTAGGTGTGGGTGGTGGTGACAAAGGAGGTGTGTTGGTGGTGGTGGTGGTGACAAGGCAGTGTGTTAGTGGTGGTGGTGGTGATGGTGGTGGTGATGAGCGAGGTATGTTAGTGGTGGTGGTGGTGGTGGTGGTGGTGACAAGCGGGAGTGTGTTGAGTGGTGGTGGTGGTGATGGGCAGAGGTAATGTTGGTGGTGGTGGTGACAAGTGTATTTGTGGTGGTGGTGGTGATGGTGGTGGTGGTGGTGGTGGTGACAAGCTGAGGTATGTTAGTGGTGGTGGTGGTGGTGGTGACAGAAGGTGTGTTTTGTGGTGGTGGTGGTGATGGTGGTGGTGACAAGCGAGGTAATGTTGAGGTGGTGGTGGTGGTGGTGAGGTGACAGAGCGAGGGTAATGTTGAGTGGTGTGGTGATGGTGGTGGTGACAAGCGAGGGATGTTAGTGGTGGTGGTGGTGATGGTGGGTGACATGAGGTGATGCTGGTAGTGGTGATGGTGGTGGTGATGGCAGGGTGTGTTAGTGGGTGGTGGTGGTGACAAGCGAGGTAATGTTAGTGGTGGTGGTGGTGGTGGTGACAAGCGAGGTAGTGTTGGTGGTGGTGGTGGTGATGGTGGTGACAAGCGGGTAATGTTAGTGTTGGTGGTGGTGGTGAGGTGACAAGCGGGTGGTGTTAGTGGTGGTGGTGGTGATGGTGGTGACAAGCTGAGTGTGTAAGTGGTGGTGATGGTGGTGGTGGTGGTGACAAGCGAGGTAATGTTAGTGGTGGTGATGGTGACGGCGAGGTAACGCTAGTGGTGGTGATGGTGGTGGTGGTGGTGACGCCGAGGTAATGCTAGTGGTGGTGATGGTGGTGGTGGGACAAGCGAGGTAATGCTAGTGGTGGTGATGGTGGTGGTGGTGGATGACAAGCGAGGTAATGTTAGTGGTGGTGGTGGTGGTGGTGGTGGTGACAAGGAGGTAATGCTAGTGGTGGTGATGGTGGTGGTGGTGACAAGCGAGGTAATGCTAGTGGTGGTGGATGGTGGTGGTGGCGGATGATAAGCGAGGTAATGTTAGTGGTGGTGGTGGTGACAGCGAGGTAATGCCAGGTGGTGCTGGTGGTGGTGGTGACGCTATGTACGTTGGTGGTGGTGGTGGTGACGATGCCGAGGTAATGTTGGTGGTGGTGGTGGTGGTGGTGGTGACATGAGGTAATGTTGGTGGTGGTGGTGGTGGTGGTGATGACATGAGGTAATGTTGGTGGTGGTGGTGGTGGTAGTAATGTTGAGGTAATGTTAGTGGTGGTGGTGATGACGCGAGGTAATGCTAGGTGGTGGTGATGGTGGTGGTGGTGATGACAAGCGAGGTAATGTTAGTGGTGGTGGTGGTGGTGACGCTGAGTGTAATGCTAGTGGTGGTGTTGGTGGTGGTGGTGACAAGAGCGAGGTAATGTTGGTGGTGGTGGTGGTGGTGTAAGGAGTTGAGGTAATGTTAATAATAATAATAATAATTAACGGTTTATTGAAAGAGCATGGCAGCTGGAAGGCTGAAAATATACAGTTACATATTTGGGAAATGGGTTTCGAATTACAATATACAAGTAACATAAGTGATACAAATAAGATTATAATAACTAGATGGGGAAAAGCTCCAAACTACAGTTCATTTCAACATAGTGACAGTGCAAGAAGTAAAGTTTACTGGGAGTGAATACACTGGTTTATTTGGCGTTATTGATAATTTTACAATGGTTGGGACTGGGCTGTTCTATAGCGACTGGGTTCGTGCACGTATGGGCTGGATGCGGTTGTGGTGTCGAACAGACCTCGGCTAGGGATCTCAGGTGGTAGTAAGAGCCGGTGTCGAGGATGGTGTAGCTTCTACCAAATTTGCAGATGAGGTCGTGGTGATGGTCAGTGAGAGTCGAAAGGGTCAGTGTGTTGAGCGCTTCTTGGATATGGAGTAGGAAGGGAGAGAATAATCTTGCATGCCCTCTTTTGCACTTTTTCTAGGTGTTTGTTGTGTGGCATTTAGGGAGGAAGACTGTAGGGGAGGCAAGGCAGTGAGTTTGGGAAGTATGAATGTTGTGTGCTAATTGGAGGAGCTCGGTGCAGGAACCTGGAGGACTTGAGTTGACGGAGGAGGGGAGACGGAACTGGAGGATTTGACAATTCACTGACGTGTGGTTTCCAATTTAGTTTGTTGTTTATGAGGACGCCGAGGAGCTTGTGAATCTACAACCTGGGAGTGTGTTCGACCCAGAGTAATGGAAGGAGGTGGGACAACGTCGGAGGAGAGGTTGATGCATAACCATGGTCTTGGTATGGTCTTGGTATGGTTAGTGGTGGTGGTGGTGACAAGCGAGGTAATGTTAGTGGTGGTGGTGGTGGTGGTGGTGGTGACAAGGAGGTAATGCTAGTGGTGGTGGTGACAAGCGAGGTATTGCTAGTGGTGGTGGTGGTGGCAAGCGAGGTAATGCTAGTGGTGGTGGTGACAAGGAGGTAATGTTAGTGGTGGTGGTGGTGGTGGTGGTGACAAGGAGGTAATGCTAGGTGGTGGTGGTGGTGGTGGTGACAAGCGAGGTAATGTTAGTGGTAGTGGTGGTGGTGGTGGTGGTGACAAGCGAGGTAATGCTAGTGGTGGTGGTGGTGGCAGTGGTGGTGGTGGTGGTGGTGGTGGTGGCAGATGCTTATAATGCTATTGGTGGTGGGGTGGTGGTAGTGGTGGTGGTGGTGGTGGTGACGTTTATGTAACGTTAGTGGTGGTGCACGCTTATAACGTTAGTGGTGGTGGTGGTGGTGGTGGTGACGGCTTATGTAATGCTAGTGGTGGTGGTGGTGGCACGCTTGAGGTAATGCTAGTGGTGGTGGTGACAAGCGAGGTAATGCTATTGGTGGTGGTGGTGTAGTGGTGGTGGTGGTGGTGGTAATGCTTTATGCATGCTATTGGTGGTGGTGGTAACAAGCGAGGTAATGTTAGTGGTGGCAGGAGCGGTGGCAGTGGTGGTGGCAGGTGATAAAGAATTAGCGGTGGTGGCAGGTGATAGAGATAGTGGTGGCAGGAGCGGTGGTGGCAGTGGTGGTGACAGGTGATAAAGAATTAGCGGTGGTGGCAGGTGATAGAGATAGTGGCAGGAGCGGTGGTGGCAGTGGTGGTGGCAGGTAACTGAAAGTTAGTGGTAAGGTGGTGGTAGTAGTGGCAGGTGATAGAGAGTTTGTGATGGTATGGTGGCAGTGCAGGTGGCAGGGTAGATAGTTAGTGGAGCAGTGGTGGTGGCAGGTGATAGATAATTAGTGATGGCAGCAGGCAGCAGTAGTGGTTAATGGTGTCATCAGTGGGTAGCAGGTGATAAAGAGGTAGTGGTGGTGGTGGTGGCAGGTGATAGGAGTTAATGGTGTCATCAGTGGTGGTGGCAGGTGATAGAGTTAATGGGTGGTGGTGGCAGGTGATGGAGAGTTAGTGGCAGTGGCAGGTGATAGAGAGTTAATGGTGGCAGTGGTGGTGGCAGTGGTGGTGATGGCAGGTGATAGAGATAGTGGCAGCAGTGGTGGTGGCAGTGATAGGAGTTAATGGTGTCATCAGCAGGTGATAGAGAGTTAATGGTGGTGCGGTGGTGGCAGTGGTGGGCAGGTGATAGAGAGTTAGTGGGAAAGTGGTGGTGGCAGGTGATAGGAGTTAATGGTGGTGGTGAGCAGGTGATAGAGAGTTAATGGTGGCAGTGGTGGTGGCAGGTGGTGGCAGGTGATAGAGAGTTAGTGGCAGCAGTGGTGGTGGGTGATAGGAGTTAATGGTGTCACTGTGGTAGCAGGTGATAGAGAGTTAATGGTGTCATCAGTGGTAGCAGGTGATAGGGAGTTAATGGTGGCAGTGGTGGTGGCAGTGGTGGTGGCAGTGGGTGATGGCAGGTGAGAGAGAGTTAGTGGCAGCAGTGGTGGTGGCAGGTGATAGGAGTTAATGGTGTCATCAGTGGTGGTAGCAGGTGATAGGAGTTAATGGTGGGCAGTGGTGGCAGTGGTGGTGGCAGTGGTGATGGCAGGTGATAGAGAGTTGTGGCAGAGTGGTGGTGGCAGGTGATAGAGCAATTTGCGGTGCGTGGTGGCAGCGTGATAGAGAGGGTGGTGTCATCAGTGGTGGTAGCAGGTGATGGAGAGTTAAGGTGGTGGCAGTGGTGGTGGCAGTGGGGTGATAGAGAGTTGGTGGCAGTGGTGGGGCAGATAGAGAGTTAAGTGTTGGGTGGTGGTGGCAGGTGATAGGAGTTAATGGTGTCATCAGTGGTGGTAGCAGGTGATAGAGTTAATGGTGTCACTGCAGCAGGTGAGCAGGTAGTTAATGCTCACTGTGGTGGCAGATAGAGTTATGGTGTCAGTGCAGGTGCAAGACAGAGAGCATGGTGGTGGTGGCAGTGGGGTGGTGGCAGGTGATGCAGTGTTAGTGACAGAGCAACATGTAATGTCAGGTTATTCAACACATATGACACTACACAGGTCGCAGTGAGAGAAAGGGGAGGGGAAAGACCAGTGAGAGAACAAGGTGAGGGGAGTAAGACCAGAGGGAGAACAAGGT